ATGTCTGACTGCAGCTTGTGTCTGCCCCCCGCTGGCAAGTGGACATCTCCCGAGGGCTGCCAGGCTGCCAGAGGGATGTCTGATTGCCATCTTAGGCCCAATCCTCCGGAGAGCAGGCCTAAGCTAGCAGGTGGTCATCCCCTGAGGGGTCCCAGACTGCGAGAGGGCACAGGCCGGGCTAAAGGACCCCCCCCCCATGCACAAATTTTTGTGCACTGGGCCTCTAGTACTTATATAAAATAAGACTTTCAGTCAAAATCAGTAACAAGACAAAGAAGTCACTAGAGGGGTCATTTCATCAAGAAGCTATAATAATTGTAAATATATGTGTACCAAACATTGGCGTACATAAATATTTAAAGCAAACTAAAGAGAGAAATAATAATAGCAGGGGACTTCAATACCCACTTTCAACACTGGATAGGTCATCCAGACAAAAAATTAACAAAAAAAATAGTGAACCTGAGTAACAGCAAGTGGCCCTAACAGACATACACAGAACACTCCATCCAATAGCACCAAAAACATTCTTCTCAAACTCACATGGAACATTTTTCATGATAGATCATGTGTCAGGTCACAAAACAAGCTTTAACAAATTTAAGAATACTGAAATCATATCAAAACACAACGTATCCAAAACTTAGAGGATGCAGCAAAAGCAGTTCTAAGAGGGAAGTTTATAGCAATAAATGCCTGCATTAAAAAGTCTCAAGCCCAGCCGGCATGGCTTAGTGGTTGAGCATTGACCTGTGAACCAGGAGGTCATGGTTCGATTCCCAGTCAGGGCACATGCCCGGGTTGTGGGCTCAGGTGTGCTGGAGGCAGCCGGTCAGTGATTCTCTCTCATCATTGATGTTTCTGTCTCTCTCTTCCCTTCCCTTCCTCTCTGAAATCAATAAAAATATTTTTTTAAAAAGTCTCAAATAAACAACCCAATTTGAAACATCATGAAATCAGTAAAAGAAAATAAGCCCTACTTTGCAGAAAGAAGGAAATAACAAAGATTAGAGCAGAAATAAATGATATAGAGACTATAAAGAAAATAGAAAAAAAGAAACTAGGAGTTGGTTTTTTGGAAAGATAAGCAAAATGGAAAAACCATAGCTAAGCTCATACAAAAAAAAGAGAAGACTTAAATTATAAACAAAAGAGAACATTACAAAAGAAATACCAGAAACGCAAAGGATCCTAAGAGACTGCTATGAACAATTAATGCTAACAAACTGGATCGTCTAGATGAAATTGATCAATTCCTAGAAACATACAACTTACTAACAATGAATCATAAAGAAATAGAAAATGTGAACAGACCAAGAACAACTAAAATGACTGAAGCAATAATCAAAAACCTCCCAACAAAGAAAGACTGAGACCAGATGGTTTCACTGGTGAATTCCACCAAAGATTTTAAAAAGATTAATGCCAATCCTTCTCAAACTCCTCCAAAAAGTTAAAGAGGGAAAACCCCAAATTCATTTATGAGGCTAGCATTACACTGATACTAAAGCCAGATAAGGACACTAAATGAAAGAAAACTACAGGCCAATATCCTTTATGATACAGATGCAAATGTTCTCAACAAAATACTAGCAAGCAATTAAACAATACATTAAAAGAATCTTAGTTATGATAAAGTGGAATTTATATAAGGATGCAAGGATGGTTCAAACATATACAAATCAATAAACATGATAAACCACTTTAACAAAATAAATAATAAAAAACATGATCCTCTCAATAGAGTCAGAAAAAGCATTTGAGAAAATTCAACCCCTTTCATGATAAAAAGCTCTCCTGACAAATACCAAACATCTAGCCCAGCCAGTGTGGCTCAGTGGTTGAATCAGGAGGTAGAGATTAGATTCCTGGTCAGGGCACATGTGCGGGTTGTAGACTCAGTCCCCAGTGGGGGGGAAAGAGGGGCAGGAGGCAGCTGATCAATAATTCTCATCATTGATGTTTCTATCCCTCTCTCCCTTTCCCTCTCTCTGAAATAAATAAAAAACATATTTAAAAAAAAAAACACCTAACATCTAGCCTAATTCCTAAATGAGATGTGAACTAGGTCTTTTCAAATATGCTAGCTTATAGCACACAACTTTTCCTCCTTGGAGGGCTTATTATTTGCACATTTCCTTGGTATTCCTTGAGCTATTTGTTACAGTTGTTTTTCTTTTACATGTGTCTTATCTCCCCACTTGGAATGTCAGTACTTTAAGAAAGATTAGTATATTTCTAAAAATCCTCTGACAATATCATGAATCTTAGTATACTCATTATTTATAATTAGCTTCCAGCTTTTTTTTTCCTATGACCTCAGAAATCTTTTGTTTACATACTTTCATTCCCAGCATTCTTATAAAAATTCCCATTCCATAATTGAAGTATTTTCATACATACTCGGTGGATCAGCATTTTCATCTCCAGGAGTGTCTGAAGTTGACAACAGCTATGAAACAGAAGAAAAATTAATGGGTACAATAAAAAATTTCAAACAGCCTGCACAAAGCAATATTAAGGTAAGTTTTCTATAAGTAGTATAAAGACTCTTTGAAAACTGGAAAATTTACATAATACTTCACTTTGCTTGCCCTGAGCAGTGTGGCTCAGTTGGTTGGAGCACTGTCCCATGCACCAAAAGATCACTGGTGCGATTCCCAGTTAGGGTGCATACCCAGGTCACAGGTTCAATCCCCTGTCGGGGTACGTGTGGGGGCAACCAACAGATGTTTCACTCTTACATCGATGTTTCTCTCTCTATCTCCCCCTTCCTCTCTCTCTAATATCTGTAACATATTAAAAAATAATTCTTCACTTTGCTTTGTTTTACCTTAATCATCATAAAAATGTCCTTAAACTTCACCTACTTCCAAATTAGAATTCAAGTGTATCTCTAGTTTCAGAAAAATAAGAAAAAGTATTAATGATTTCTCATTTCTTTTAGAAAGTCGTATTTCAACTGGACCACTCTCAGAGGTACCAAACTCCTGACAATTCTATATTCTTTTCTGGAAAAGATGGAGGAGATATTAAAGATTCTCCTCCAACTGACTACAAATTGTACAGTAGTTTGTGGAGTGATTTTCAAAAAACTGAAAACAAAAGACAACCTTTTTTATAACCCCTTAACAAGGCAGTTAAAAAAATAAAAGGTATTAATATGAATACAAAACCTATAACTATACCTGAAAAACAAATGTAATGATTACTTCTAACATATTTTTGCAATTATTATTTAGGAGAACTCAATGATGTCAATTATAAAAATGTATTTACCTGTTCAAGAAGATGGGGATATCTGGCTTGAATCTCATCAACAAACCCCTGTCCTTTCATGCGTATCAAGAACTCACACCTAAAACATACAAATAAAATTTTTTTAAATTGTTTTAGATCAAAAATATAACCTGATCATTCTAGAAAAGTGGCTTTCATACATTTTGTACCCCATAATTGAAGCACTTTACATCACAATGTAGCATACATACATACCTACCAGAAACAAAATTCTCAAACATTAGACTCTTACTATGTGCTGATACATTCTGATATTTTCTATTTAGATCCATTAACACAGTTAACAACAATAAAAGGGTCTAGATCTACAAAGGAACACAAACTGAGGCTTGAATAATGCTGTTATAGACAATTTGGGGATTTAACATAGTTTCAGAAACTGTAGTACAGTATTCCTAAAATGTGATCTTTCATAATATAATAACTGCTAATCTTTCTCTAGTATCCATTCTTCCAATACATTTAAAGCACAAACCCACCCTCCAAAAAAAACCTGAATCAAATATTTTCATCTATAATGTGACAGTGTTTCCCAAGTACTCATTTTCAAATTACTAAGATTTCTAAAAGGTGTTTCAGGAAGTTCACATAAAATCTATTTCCATTTCATAACTTTTGTTTTTCAACAAATAGTACTAGACAACTAGAACAATATACTTCAACCTATGCCCATACTATATATAAAAATAAACAAATCATTAATGTAAATGTAAAATGTAAAACAGAAAAAACGTTAAGAGAAAATCTTTTTGTCCTCATGTTAGGTACCAAATTCTCAGATAAGAAACCAACAGCATAATCCACAAGAGAAAACTGATAAACTGACATCATCAAAATTAAAAATGTCTGCTCATCACTGTTAAGAAAATGAAAATCCACAGACTGAAAGTTTGCAAAACACATCTGATAAAGCACTGTATCCAGAGTATATTATGAACTAGCAAAACTTAATTTAAAAAAAGAAAACATAAAAATGGGCAAAAGATTTGAACAGACACTTCACCAAAGAAGATGTATAGATGGTAAATAATCAAATAAGAAGCTCGTCATCATTCATCAATAGGAAATGCTAATTAAAATGACAGTGAAATGTCACTATGTCCATATCTATTAGAATGGCTAACATAAAAAGACGGACAATACCAAATGTTGTTAAGGATGTGGAACACCCGGAGGTCTCATACCATGCCAGTGGAAATTTAACATTTAACAATTTAGCAGTTTCTTATAAAGTTAAAACAAAACTTGCCATACAACTCATCAATCACATTTGGACATGTTTACCCAAGAAAAATGAAAACATGTGTCCACAAATGTTTTATTAATATTTAGAGTGGCTTCATTATTGCTCCAAACTAGAAACAACTCAAATGTCCTTCAGTTGGTGAGTGGGTGGAATGAGTAACGATCATATGCATGCTCTGTTATCAACCAAGTAACAGAACTAGTTGTTACTGTGTTTTGATCTTTGTATAGTTTTAAATTATTTTCATTCTGAAACTGATTAATTTATATTCATAACAATTAAATTTAGGAAGTATAGCCCTAGCCGGTTTGCCTCAGTGGATAGAGCAACAGCTTGTGAACTAATTTTGTCATTTTTGTGTAAAGTTAAAAAAAAATTTAACTTTACATTTGATTTCGGTCAAGGGCACATACCTTGGTTGCAAATTTAATCCCTGGCCCTGGTTGGGGCACATGTGGGAAGCAACCAATCAATGTATCTCATATTGATGTTTCTCTCTGTCTCTCCCTCTCCCTTCCACTCTCTCTAAAAATCAATGGAAAAATATCCTCGGGTGAGGATTAACCAAAAAAATAAATTAAAAAAATAAAGATAGGAAGTATAATAAATTTTCCCCTTCTCCAATGAACTCCATGAGGACAATTTTTGGGTGTCTTATTCACTGTTATGTGCCCAGCATCTAAAGAGTATCCATTAAGCACCCAAATATTTGATAAATAAATAAGTAAACTGTTAAAATATAGCGATAACAATTACTTATTTGGGGTTTTCATTTACTAAGATTAAAGATTACCGACAATGGAAATTTGCTGTTTTCAGAAGTGTTTACAAAAAAGCATCACTAAGTTCTTATTTAACTATTGAAAGCAAAACACAAGTTACAGAAATAAACCAAGACTGTTTTGTTTTATAAAGGATAAAATGTAGCAATTCAAACACTGGAATTAGAAAGCTGTTTGTCTTTTTCATACAGTATACTCAAATTTCAAGTTATATGTACACAATCCCAAGGTCGAATATAATTAGGTTATTTAAATATCTGACAATAAAATATGCTTTTTCCTACATAAATTATTTAAACAAAATATATGTCACTTTTCAGAGTTGGAAAGTCAAAATTTATCTTGACATATTATGAATATTAAAGATAAAATTTTAAAATACAACTTTTAACAATGTATTGGGCCATACTAAAATATTTCTCCAAATTTTTTTTAACTCTACACAAAAATGATAAAAGGACTTTTTAATTTCCTGAAGGGATTCCAAAGATGTCTTATATTGTGAAAGGCACTCACAGGTCAAAACATTATCTATATTATACAACTTGAGGCCCGGTGCATGAAATTTGTGCACAAAATACATATGTGTGTGTGTGGGGGGGTCCTCAGCCTGTCCTGCAACCTCTCCAGTCCGGGATCCCTTGGGGGATGTCCAACTGCCGGTTTAGGCCCGATCCCGCCAAACCAGCAATCGGACATTCGCAATCTGGGACCATTGGCTCCTAACCGCTCACCTGCCCGCCTGCCTGATCGCCCCAAACCACTCTGCCTGCTTGCCTGATGCCCCTAACTGCTCCCCTGCCGGCCTGATCGCCCTCACTGCTCTCCCCTGCCAACCTGATAGTCCTAACTGCTCTCCCCTGCCGGCCTGATTGCCCTAACTGCTCTCCCCTGCCAGCGTGATCGCCCCTAACCACCTTGCCTCGGCCCCACCACCATGGCTTTGTCCAGAAGGATGTCCAGTCTAATTAGCATATTACCCTTTTATAGTATAGATTCCATTTATAAGAGGTACCTACAGTAGTCAAATTCATAGAGACAGAAAGTAGAATGGTGGTTGCCAGAGGCTAGGGGGCCAGGTAAATGCCGAGTTAGTGTAATGAATACAACTTTCAGTTTAAGAAGATGAAAAGTTCTGAAAATGGATGGTGGTAATGACTAAGAAACAATGTGAATGTTCTTAATGCCACAGAAATGTATACTTAAAAATGGTTAAAATTAGATAAATTTTATGTTATGTATATTTTACCACAATATTTTTAAAAATCATCTAGTCCAACTCCCTCATTTTACAGAAGAGGAGAGAAGCTCAAAGGCATCATGCAATTTGTTCAAGTTCACATAGCTACTCAATAATACAAAGAGAATTAATTTCCAATTCTATTTTCACTAATGCCTCTAATTCTTTCTAAAAATAGGAGATACTGCTAGACAGTGACCAAAGGAGATATGTGACATATCACAAGACAAAAATGTGCAGAAAAAAATTATTTACAAGTATAATCAGACTTAACAATCAGATTTTATTGTATGATTATGAAATTTTTTTAAATATATTTGATTTTTTACAGAGACGAAGGGAGAGAGATAGAGAGTTAGAAACATCGATGAGAGAGAAACATCGATCAGCTGCCTCCTGCACATCTCCTACTGGGGATGTGCCCGCAACCCAGGTACATGCCCTTGACCGGAATCGAACCTGGGACCTTTCAGTCCGCAGGCCGACACTCTATCCAGTGAGCCAAACCGGTTTCAGCTATTATGAAATATTTTATTCATAAATCTATTTTATGTCACTTGTTTTCCTTTTCCCTTCTTACATTTTTCTAACTTATGTTCTTTTTGTTCTATTTTATATATCTTTAATCCTTAAGTCTCCTTTAAAGCAAAATAGGAAATAAAATGAAATGCATGGCCGCCATAATTGTAAATGAGTCAAGTTGAACTATACCATGAATATATGACTTACAAAAGAAAAATGCACAGAACATTCTACAACTTTTTCAATAAAAATAATTATAATTAAAGTTCAAATTGCAAGTTTTAAAAGGCTCATTCCCCAACAGCATAAGAGAAGCTTTGTTATAGTGAGATGTAAATTTAACCATGCCAGGATTCCTACTTCTTTAAGCAGTTTTGTGCAGGAATACCTTTAAAAACCATTACCTTGGAAACCACTTGGCATGTTCTACCCAGGGGTCATCTCCAGATTCCCAACACCTTAAGCCACCATCACAGCAAAAGCATTTGACATCATCGTTTCGACCTAAGGAAACAAAAGACTAACATTAAATACACACGTATTCTCGAATGTCAATCAAAATGAACTAGATAAAATGTAGAGATGTGTAAGTTTCTTACCCACATAATAGAAACCAGCACTTGCAAGCTGCTCAGGTTGAACTGGAACATTAGAAGGCCAGCACATAAATGTTCTCAACCGGGCTGCATGTGTCTGCATGCTCAAATTTGAAATGCTAAACCTCAGGGTGTCTAGAGAATTCTCCAAAAATGGGCAGTTGGGGAAATGTCTTCGGTGTTCTGACATAGCATCATCCTTTGGTTCCCAGTTACTTAGTTTCCCACCACAAGCAAAGCAAGCTACCCTATCTCCAGGTCCTATGTAATAAAAACCAGCTCTTGCCAATTCTGATGGTGACAAAAAAGTTAATGGCCACAGGTGGTAAGTAAGCAATCTGGCTTGTTCAGTGCTCATTGCGTAACTGTAGGGGTTAGTCCTCAATGAGGAGAGGTCTTCCACGGCTCTAGAATGAATAGGGTTTGATGAAAGGTTGGGGTAAGACCCACTGAACGATCCCCGTTGTTCCAAAGTAGGAGACAACGAATGTGTAAAACTGTTTCTTACTGGAGAAGTCATCTTAAAGGTGGACTCCAAACCAGTAACAGAAACCAGATTCTGAATAAAGCTACAGCTAGGATAGAGCTGTTTGTGTTTTTCAATAGGATTGTCTCCTTGTTTCCAGTTATCCAGCATCAGGCCACAGCAGAAGCATTTGACCTTGTCATTCACACCCGTGTAATAAAAACCAGCGCGAGCAAGACTCCTTTCTGAGACAGGAACACCAGTGGGGAAAGTCGAGTACGTAGACATTCTGTAGAGTTCACAGGAAAAGTCGTATTTCATTTTGTGTTTGTTGTCAATTGTCCAATTTGACAAGATAGTACTATCTTCCATTATAGTCTTTTTTTGATATGAGGGACCTGGGACAAGTCGTTGGGAGGTAGTTTTGTGCATGAGTGATTTTACTTTTTGATGGGCAAAATTTACTACACCTAGTTTAGTGGATTTACACCTACGTTTACACTCGGGTAGGATGACTATCCCCTCTAAATTACCAAGATACTCTGTAGTACTCTTTGGGATTAAATTAACTCTTTTAGGTAACTCAGGTGCTGTTAAGTCATTACTTAGTGTAATACTAATATTATGACCTGAAAGCAGTCAATACGCTTCTGAAAATATTTAAAACTAATTGACTTTTAAAGGAGGTTTATATTTCCAAAGTTCTAAACAACTACAGAATACCTAAATTTGCTTTTGGTTGTAAACTACAAAGCCTGGATATCAAGCCAATTACTGATGATGCTATAAAAGGAAAAAAAACTTTATGCAGGCTTCTTTCTCTACAAGCACTTTAATATAATTTCCAAAAATAAAAAATACAAAATCTTGTTTTAGTCTAGTAAACAAGAATTAAAGTCTTCATATGGCCACATTATCTAAAGGCTAATTCACACAACTTACTATCGTAGTATTTACTTAAGTGGATTATATTAGTTTCAGATAGCTTTTGGGGACATCAATACCCACAAGCTTTGTTGAATTTATTCCTGTTATACTGTTTATGATGTCAAATGAAATGAATTTTGCTTAAAGCTCACAAACTGCTAATTTTTCCTCCTTTGTTAATTATTGTCTATATGTTTACATTTCCTGCAGCATCATTATGTTGTTTTTCTTCCTAACTTTGCATACCACTTTATTATTATGCTTGACCAATTGAAGGTATTTTCTCTATTAACTTAACTAATTTAACCATAAAATTTCCACAGGAGAAACTTTCTACTCTGCATTTAAAAATTAACCTGTCTTTCATTTAAGGATCATGCACCTATATCATTCATTTCGTAATTACAGATAAATTTATCAAGGTAACAGCTTGTCCTTTGTAGTATCATAAATACCTAATAAAATATTGTATTACATAATGTACCAGTAATTAACTTGAGTATTCTTTCTGAAAACCCTTCACATTTAAAAAATATAATTCATACACAAAATTACACTCCACAGAGTTCAAGCTATATCCCTTTATAAAGTTTCTGGGTCTCCATAATGGGATTTATTAGTGCAGCGGAAAAAAACGAGGGGAAAAAAGTAGTCTCTTCAAAGCTGTAAATCTGGAAAGAAAAAAAAAAGCTATTTTAGGAAACTATTTTCATAGTCAAGAGCATTTATACACTGGTATTCAATGATGTCCATAAAGTCTAAAAATGATTCACACTTTAGAAAATACATGTAATTCACAAGCAATTTATCACAAAAACTTTCTAACTGGGAAAAGTTAATTAAAATAAATGCAATATAGATAGGCCCCTTAGCACTAAGTACATATATCTGTATTTTAAACATACAACTTTAAAGACAGATGGACATTTACTTAGATCAAAATATTCTCTCCTCGGTCTCCTCCCCTTTTCTGGAGACAACTTTCAATAGTTTAAGAATTTCCCTGGCAAAACCCATCAGCAACAGTGCGGCAGTAATTAGGCAGGAACGGTTTTTTTTAATGCCCAGTCTCTGCAGGTCGAGGCACACTGACCAGTAAGAGCGAGCGAGATGCATCAGGAATTCACTAACACAAACCTTTATAAACGCCACCATCCCCTCCCAATTCTAAAGCGGCCGCCACAGACGGCGCCTCGAAACCAGCACGGAGCACAGCGGCCTGCGGAGCCGGGGCCTGGGGCTGGGACCCCTCGCACGGAAGCTTCCGTTCCAGCAGGACTCGGTCTCACACCTCTAAATGATACCCTCTTCCCTGCAGGCACCGTGACAGTGAATTCTGACCTCTTTTGTGCAAACTGCAGCTGGGGGGGAGGGAGGGGTGTTGACTGGAAGGAAAAAGAGCAACGATGGGCTTCACCCACTGATTTCCCGGAGCTGCGCGCACAGCGCACAAAAGACCAGCAAAGCGGCGGGCGCAGCCGGGACGGTGTGAAACGTATCCTCTCGCCGCCCACAAATGCCTTGGTTCCAACAGATTTAAAAGGTTACATTTAAAACCCTGCAAACGCGCTGGGAGAAAACTTCCGGAAAAGTGGGCGGCGGCCGGAGCAGGCAGGCAAACAGGCCGATGTTTAAAAGCGATTTTCCACTGCGGGTCGTGGAGTCCGAGCTTCCGAATGAAACGAGAGCCCGGGCGGGAGCAGGGAGCGC